TTTCCTCTCACCGTCTTCATACTTATCCAGTGGACGGTCAATTACCTTGTTTCTCATCGAATAGAAATTTTTACTTTATCAAATTTTAAACCCTTACTTCCATTGTGTTGTCAATTATTGCATAATTTCTTCCTGTCTGAAGAAATCACTTCTGAGTAACTACATCAGTTATGTCACAAACCGCTATTGTTCCATTGTAGGTTGTTATAAGTTTTAGTATATTTAAATACGATTCTATAGTATTTTGATTAGACACTAGTAACTAGTGTGATGTATCTAGTCCTTTCTTTGATGCAGACTGAATTCTATCAGTCAGGTTTGAAATGTGGCCACCATTATAGGTAGCTCGCCATCGCGATGCGCATTGATTTGATGATATCAGATGGTTGGAGGCGATCAACAGGAAGCTTTGCTCCACCTAGGTCTCGAAACAGCGTCACCCAGTGCTGCCGAAAGGACATGAGTTCCTTCAACGTTGCAGATACGCCTTGCTGACTGATGAGTGCCAACTAGCACGAACCCTAGGCTTCCTGTGGCCGATTGCCTCCAACCATCTAATATCAAAACAATAAATGCCAGATAGGGTGAACCCATAATCTACTCTAAGCTTTATGCATACAATTCTACCACTGACACAAGAAGTTGTAAGTGATTCCCAGTCCCTTCACCATTATTCCCATTGAATCTATCATCTCAGGCATGAAAGGTAGGAGCATGCGATCACAGAACCACTCTCATAACGGAAATAATAATGACAACAGTTTGGCTTTAAACAATAAAGACTTACACAAGTACTGAAAGGGTAAGAATGCTTTTCATAATAACAATCACTAAACAACTGTCTTTAAGATTTAAAATCAGACTTTCATATGCTTACACACAGGCATAATATAAAGGAAACCGGAACTAAACAGATTTGTACAGTATATACGTGTGCACCCGTGGAAATAAACTTAACATTTCTCTGTGTGATGCATGTGATAATGTTGCATACGCACCGGTTAGTTTCTTTTCTTGGGTTTGGGAGGTAAAAATCTAAAAAAGAGGTATTACTAAACACCGCCCATCCCCATCAAAAACGGAAAAAGAAACTACTCAAACCACCCACAAAAAATAAAGGAAAAATAGGCCACCACTTCTTTTAAACTATTTTCATTTTCTTGAATTTCTATTATTTTAATAAACCTTTATTACTACTATTTATCCCAAATCCAGATTAGTATTATTATTATTATTAGGTGTTTCCTTTGTGTGTAGAATTTTCAAAAGGAAGTACACTGGATATCTTGTAAAAATAGGCACACAGACATGCGTAAACTGGCACTTCTTTACTAGAAAAAAAGGTAAGCAATAATCGTAAAGGAAATGAAACTGTTAGATTTAAAATTCCCCTAAATCCCACTATTATTTTTCTAAATGTGAAAGGAATTGCTATGAAAAAAGGAAGTAAACTGCCTACCTGCTTACTGGTCTACAGACGAGACGGAAAACTAGCTAACTACTCAAGTGTACAGCTTACTAACAAAATACACATAAGTTCATTGTTTCCTGTTACATATACCTTGTCTTAAACAAAAGGATAACCATGAATACATCAAGAGCTGTTTAATGAATAAGGCTTACTATCTATAAAAGCTATTTATGTGGTAAAATAAATCACTTTTTTCTCTAAATTTTTGTTTAATTGGTTGAAGGTGAGGCGGTAACTCATCGAAGGAGACATTGAGAAGCGGTCGAGCTATGTCATGAATTGTCAGAAGTTAGAATTTATGGGCTGGCCATTGTATAGGATTCTCAGTGGCTTAATAGTCATCTACACACTAGCTCGCCTTGTAACCAGAAGGTCCTGGGCTCGTACTGATAAAGAATCTCATACTGGCAGAATGAAACAGCTGTCCAGTACTTCCAGATGGATTTCCAATGACTCTCTAACTGATGTCAGCTCATGATGAAATCCTCCAACATAATTTCTCTAAATATTCCTAAAATCTGATATAGAATGTAAGCGATCAGTATTCATGAATATACTTTAAACTGAATAAGTCCTGATAGTCCACGTAAAATAAGTAAAGAGTGTATGGTCTCATCTACTGCATTGGATTACCAGCCATTGTAGACTTCCTCACTAACCAACACCCATTAAAAGAATCTTTGAAAACGTGAATGGATGTCGTGAAATTGTAATGACAAGTTATCTTCATTGAGTCAAATTCACAATTTTCCAATATGTACAGTTTGAGGGGTGAGATCTCACCAACGTTTCCCTGTGGAAACCAAAACTAGTCAAATGACAATGTGACCTGCTTGAAACCATAAGTGATAACCAAGAAAGCAAGAATGTTTGCATAAAAATACACAGTACTGATTGACTGAGATAAACAATTGTGTAACGACAGAAGACAAGGGCCAGGTAACAGATCGTTTATTGAGAAAATCAACAGATATTTATAGATTTTATGCACATTATTATTAGCAGAGAAGTGATGTCTTCTGATTGGTTGTCTTCTTGCTGAAGGTTATTTTTGTACTGCTTGTGGCCGTTTCTTAGATAGTTAAGTCATGTGTCTGCGAATTATATTTGCACACGTTAAGTCTGCTGTGATTAGTTGGTAAGTTCTTCAAGGTTAAGCTTTGTTATTGTTTCTTTTTCTCATGACCCCGATTCGGGATATAAACATCGAGGTAAATGGTTGTCTACAATTTTGGTTTGCAGACAGCTCTCACGACAGTTGGACACTAACCATATCAACCAGTAGTGTTTGCTGACCAGATCATATATGTATATGTTACTATGATCCAGAATAATAATGGAGATCATAATGGTAATTAAAACTCAAATTAACATAAGTATATCATGTTTCCAACTTACACGTTAACTTGGTTAATAATAACCAATGGACACGACTTTTCTTAATTTGTATACTCTCAATCTGAAAATGAAAGTCATTCAAAAGTATGCACTAATTGAATTTATTGGCCACCTAAATTATTTACGAATTTTCATAAGCCTTAATAAAATAGTTGCTTATCTAACCTAAGAGCTGGTATAAAATGTGTGTTTGGCACTTGCCAAACTGTGCCATCTATAGTGCAGGTGTAATATTCGGTTGTGACACATAGCCGGTATAGACAGGTGAAACAAAGAGGCTTTATTCGTGTTAGGAGAAGCAATATGAAGATTAGTAACAAAGTTAGGCGTAGACTGTTAGGTGAGTTCGTGAAGCTGCATTGATTGACGTAGACAGGATATATGTGGTGAGAGCTCGTTGCTAGCCAAATCGATAGACAGTAATTTACGTCCCCAATATTGGTCGTGAGAAAAAGAAGAACGAAGATTAACTCAACAACCAGTCACAGCAGACGGATAAAATTTGCAGACAGATAATCTGAACTTCAAGAAACGGCCACAAACAGATGAAAGATTAACGTTCAACGAGAAACCACCAATCAAAAGACTGTGTTAGTTTGCTTACAATAATCTATAATAATGTACATGAAAATCTATATCAGTTGATTTCCTAAATAAATGATCTGTTGCCTGGCACTTGTCTTCTGTTATTACATATATACTACGCATACCGTTTAAAGTGTTAGCTGAAGCAGTACTAGGTTATAAGAAAGTTAGGGGTGATCAAACTAAAAACTGGCATCAGTCAAGGAAGCCTTTTACTATTAGTTTGAACCAAATAAAGAAGTTCAGACAGCCTGGTCTGTGGTCGTCAAAATGCTGAAGACTCTTGGTGAAATGGCTAAGAACTGTTCATTTAATTATTCCTTCACGTCTGTTGCAGTAGCATCATTCCATAATTATCCACCTGTTTTGTGAGATTTCCCAAAGTGAACCGATAAACTTTTTAGTTCATCAGTCAATCAATGATTATGTGAATACTTCTTAGCGACTCCCAGTCTCATAATGAAAGGAAATTTGATTTCACTTCTAACTAACACTAGCAATGGGATCCAGGATGTGCGATTCGTCCCATTCGGGACTCGTTCTCTGACTGTACCTCCAATCCCTCCCCCCCCACCTGAGTGACGGTGTCCCCAATGATACTTGAAGTTAGCATTCATCGTTTCAAATGCCAAAGCGTTATTCTCCAAACCACGAGAAGCACCTTTTGTACAACAGGGATGAATTACTATTTTAAGTAAATTTCCATTTCCCTAGTTTATTGGGCCGGAATGGTCTGCCGAATAGGATAAAATACCCACCCTGTTACGCATCATATTAACTTTCAGATATCTTCGAAGCGTCGTACCAGGTATCAGCATTTCAACAGAGACTAAACATTTCGGTCTAATCAATCAACGGGAAAAGCAAAAATTCACTTCAACGAAATAATAACCTTCAGGGAAGTGTAGAACTTGGCCATTGTGGTAGGATGTAATTCCATATTAGATAAGTTTATTATTTAAATATCACACAGAGATGTAGTATTAACAGTCCGAGTCCGGATCTCCGAAGGAATATCATTCCCTTCGAGGGTGTAGATACGCCTTGCCGACAAGCAGCAACAACCACGAATTCCAAGTCCAGGACTTCTTATCTACCTGCGCCTCCAAATAACATCGGCTTCAATGTCTAAAAAAGAACATACGGGTAGCAGTGAACTTGAATTCCCCACCTTTCTTATCTTAATTCTCCCCCTAAAAATACTTTCTAATACTGTCTGTAAAATCTTGTAATAAAATGAAGGAAAGCATTCCTTTAAGTATATCTTTTTTAATTTTATTTTCAAAACTTTCAGCATTAGCAAGTATAGAATGACAAAAAAGGCATTTTATCACAGAAAAATTTAAGTAATTTTAATTTCTTATGAAAAATTAGTTTGAATGAAAAGACAAAAATAAAAATTATGTTAAAAAAAAGCACAGTACAATAAATCAGGATGAAGTATTGTGAAGTTAATACAAAGAAGGATGTACTATATATATATATATATATTAATTTACACTTGAAATATAATGTGTGTATATAATATTATAAAAATAATTTTAAGTTAGTCATTGTCTCTCACTAGTGAATGATTCACTTCTGATGACCAACTATTCTGTCCAATACATTCAGTCATCCAGGTATCTTTAACAAAATGTGGAACACGAGTAAATTGATTCATCCAATCAATGATTGTTGAATAATTTTCATTTAGCCAAGAATCCAACTCCACTTCTTGTGACGATGTCAATGAAGACGACAGCTTTAGAACAGAACACAAAAGGAAATTAAAATAAATTCCAGAGAAAAACTACATATAATACTGACTAACTAACTGAGATGTGTAGGTTTTTTTTTTTTATTGTAGCTTGATTCCACACCGTATTTCTGGTACAAGTATGGGATTTTCAGCATGTGATATCGGTAGCCCAAATTTTGCAGGCCAACCATTGATATCAGGTGTGCGTCGGCAGGGGACTGAACCCCGGACCATGTGCATGGCCGGCGAGAGTCCTAACCGCTGTGCCACCGACGCATACTCACATCAACCAGATGGAAGTGATTTAAACACTGAGCAGTTCTTTCGTTTGTTCGGAGCTGAACCCATCATCGTCGTATCCGTTTTGACTCAGCTCAGATATGCGGATCAGTTCAAACCACCCGATTTCTGGCTAGCTACCTAGGGTGGAATTTGTAAATCGCAAATTTGATTCAAAGGAAAACCTATCGATTGTAAGATTTAATAAAGCTCTCCCTCTGATTCATTTTGCAAACTGAAGTGAGACTGCTCACACTTCAATAGCATTTATTCTCAAGTTTCAGTAGTGGTAGTTTTGCTTTTATGGAGCATCGGTGGTACAGTGGTTAGGATTCTCGCCGACCATGCACATGGTCCGGGGTTCGAGCCCACGCCGGCGCACACCTGATATCTATGGTCGGCCTGCAAAATTTGGGCTACCGGTATCCACGCTGAAAATTCCACACTTGTACCAAAAATACAGTGTGGAATCAAGCTGTAAATAAAAAAAATAAAAAAAAAAAATCGTTTCTAGCATCACATCCAATATTTTCAAGAGTTGGTTGGTAAGGACTAAATTTGTTTTTTACGAGTTTGACCACAGATTGATACCAGTTAGAGAGTGATTGCAAAACCAACCAAGGAGTACTGGACAGCCGTTTCATCCTAGTTTGCGAATCATCGGCAGTACAAACCCACTGCCAGGGTTCGAACGCAGGATCTTTCGGTTACACGGCAAGCTTGTATACCATTCAGCAACTGAGACCCGATTCAGTGGCCAGTGCATGAATTTTAACTTCTACCAATTCGTGACTTACCGCAATCACCAACCAATACTTGAAAAATCTAATCCTAACAAACTAACTATTGGAAATTAATCTGATGCTCACTAGTGACTTGCTACACAACGGAGTTTTCTGGAGTTCTAGTGAGAAGTCATGACCAGTGAGGTCCATCCAGTCAAATGTGAGGATGGATATCCCACTGATGATATTGGTTGGTGGTCGCGTTAAATGCATCACGAATTGGTAGAAGTTAGAATTCATGAGCCATTGAATCGGGTCCTAGTGGCTGAATGGTATACGAGCTTTCCTTGCAACCGCAAGGTCCTGGGTTCGAACCCTGGTAGTGGGTGGGTACTACTGATGATTCCCATACTAGGATGAAACAGCTGTCCAGTAGTCCATTACTCCCTGGTGATTTCAATGGTTCTCTAACTGACATCAATCTGTGGTCAAACTCGTAAAGAACATCCAATGTTCCCTTAAACCTTGGCTTAAATGAGGTTTAGGAAATGAGTCAGTCAGGAATCAAACCTGGACTACCTGCGTGGCTGGTGAGCATTCTATCATCGCATCAGTGACACACTGAAACCTACTACTTAAAGAATATAAATTTTCTAATTTATTAATAAGCTAACTGGTAGGACGAAGTTTTCATAAAATATATTATCATCAAGTCCCTTATTGGGATATTTGACCTATACTCAATAAATCGTGAACTTGAATCCCACAACATCGACTGAAGTTAAAATGTAAAGTAGGTGCGTCACATTGTCTACTATGCAAAATCTCAATACGATCGAATAAACCTGTAAGATATCTTCACCTACTTTCGCTTTAAGAGAAACTATTTCGGGAATAATGTTTATTTTGGTTTCGATTGCATACAGTCATTAAGGCTCGGTTGTCACAACACTACATTCCAAACCCAATAAGCTGTGATCAACACAGAGACGTATCTAGTTCGTTTACTAAAATATATGATGTTGTCAAACCTGCCTGATGAAATGTCCATTACAAGACAAACAGCTGATTAACTAAGTTTCATTGAAAGCCATGATACTGTGGGAATGACAAATAAATGATTAATTGAAGCAGTAATATTGGGGGCTTCAGCAACAACACATCTCCATTTCATCTTTTTTAAATGGCTAAAAGAGCGCCTACAACCATTTATCTTCTCCTTACACGATCTCTTGCACGTTATCGTCTGACGCTTGACTCGTCACCTGCTTCCCACTCTGGTTTCATCAGAGGACCGAAAGTATCTCTCAACGCATGTCAAATCTACTGTCATCCCCTCCTGCCTATTTGTTAGGTGGTAGGTCTTTGAATCTTTGGTTCGTTGCAAGAGTTGCTTTATCGCTTATACTTTCTGGTAATCTCATCTTCATTCAAAATCGAGCAAGAGCAGCTGCTGATGAATGTTTGTAGCAGACTGTTGGAAATGCTTTCGGCGACGCTCGTGCTGCATCTTAACATTCCCCTACATCTAGTATTAATTTAAAGTACACTAATAGTATTAAAAGCAAAGATGACATATATAAAAAAAACACTGATAAACCTACCATTACAATATGTGTTGGGTTGATACACCACTTGTTATTAAGTGATCTCACACAATCAGTAGTATGTGAATCCACAGATAAAAAATTATGATAAGCCGAATTTAGAAGTGACTGTAAATTAGAAATTGACTCTGATTTATAAATACAAATTGGTCCTATACATAGACAACCGAGTCTACGCATATCAGTTATCATTAATTGTTGTTGCAGTTCTAAAGCAAATGAATCGACCGCCTGTTCCTCTTTGTTTGGATTAAATATTGGACGTATTAGGGCTAAAATATACCCTGTCATTGGATGCAGAACATCAGTATCTCCTTTAAATTCATTTAACAAAAGCTTTAACTTTGAATAATGATTAAGTTTAGGTGCCTGATGGGATTCAAAGAAATAAGGGAGGAGTCATATAGACAACATTACCAATGAAGAAAACATAAAAAAACAAGGAACTAACCAATTCAAAATAGTCATTTTTTAAAACTTAAGCGAATAATGCTACGGCACTTGAAATGATGGATACAGGATTCGAGTCTTAGTGAGAACACCATCACTCACCAGGAATGCAAGTGCGACCAGTCAGGAGTTCTAGCATTATGTTGCTCAATAAATTATTTCAATTCCATGCAGTTGGCAATGAGCCACATTGATTGTATGGGCATTAGCGAAACATCCTGACTACACAAATCTCAGTAAGTGAAATGGGGTTCAAACATGTACCTCACTGGTTGGAAGTTGAGTGCCTAGACAAATGGGCCACAATTCCACACATTTCAATGTATAATATTACCTGTTTATTGGCGTATGACATAGCACGTCACAAATGGTTCCTATAAATATGATTAACTTAAACCCATCTATCACACTCTCTGTCTACACCCATCCCCCACAAACGACATTGTACGATCAAGAGTGGGTAGACTTCGGTCTTCCTATCGAAATTCTCTCACGTGTTCACGCGTTCATAGCCTCTGCCTTCACCCACTATGGGTGGTCCTCATAAAAGCGAAAGGCTGAATGCAAACGTCCGGTGCTTACAACCGGACTGGTAAATATCCTGACCTACCTAAGGCAGCTGGAGAATCCTGATTCCAAACCTGTGGTTTACGTGAGCTCCGGAATCCGAAACGATCGAATGACATATTTACCTCTCTTGTTTACCGTCAGACATGGGAATGTAGCTCCTGACTCTGCTCTACTACACTATGGAACAGACTTCAAGTATAAGGCTCGGGGGTGGCCCCTTGAGACAACCATTCGGGTAGTATTCCAGATTTTGTATGGCACACCTTTTGGTGCTCATTATGTACCAATTTTGTGTCTTAACAGATAAATACATGTGGTGTGTGCTTATGGAAAGATTTTTTCAGTAGAATATTGTGCGATACCTTCTGTGAGAATACTGAATAGCCCAACCTCGCTAAGCGGACAGTAAGCCCGATAAAGAGAGAAGATTCGGCATGAGAATGGGGAATAGAATTGAAACAATGATGACAAGCATTAGGTTTGTAATGATAAACAGAGTTATTATTCCTGAACAAATATAAACAGAATTTTCAACAGAAAACATTGCTTGAAAACGCGACAGATCAAACTACCACATTTCACAAAAGCGCACATAAAGGTAGGGGAAATATATGAAACTATAATAAACGGAAATATATAAGAGAAATAATAATTACATGGAGAATAATGAGGATCTAATAGATCTGGGAACCAATTTACAGACATACCACAGACAGTTTCGAACCACTGGTTCACAGAGTCTTGAGAATGTCAGCCAGGCAGTAGTCTACACCTCTCCATATGGCTCAAATTAACAATCGGAAAATTCATGCATTAGTACCAGTTTTGACCACCAGAACATTATCTTCTCTTTATTTTATTCCTTACCATTACCACCAGGGTGTCAAGCTTGCGCTTTCTAGGTTTGAGCAGCAGCGTGTTTATTTTTTACGAGGCGCGGTTGCTAGCCTCACGCCCAACCTTGCCCCTCTACCTGGCTTACTATCGGCTATGTGAAGTTGAGAAGTGCGTAGGCCGAGGATCGGAGCCCAGACCACGTGCGTGGCTAACGAGTGCTCTACCACTGAACCACCAACGTAATTTTTTCCTCACGTTCCCAGTGGAACTTAGTGCTCCAAGCTAGAAGCTTGAAGTTTCTGTAGCAGTGTTAATTTTTGCAGGATGGGGTTGTATCCTCGTGCCCAACCTTTCCCTTTACCAGTCTCACTACTGGTTTAGCGAAGTAAGGGAGTGGGCGGAAGGGATTCGAACCCCGGACTATGTGCATGGTCGACGAGCGTCCTAACCGCTGAGCCAACGAACTAACGCGCTACAAAAACATATATAAATTAATTTAAAAAATATTATAATTGAAATCCAATAAACATACAACTAGTTTTGACGTTGTTTTATTTTCTTCATCAGTTGATGTGGAACAAGATATATCATCGAAAACTAATTTTAACTCATCCGCTGTAGTTGGCTCTCTGTAACTGTCACCAAATTTATCATATTCTTGAGCTAATTTATCAGCACAGAAGGCCGCATTGAATACATATCTTTTGGTTTCCAGGGTAGCAATGACTTCTTATTGAAACAATCAATTAACCAATGTAAGCGAACCACATTATGTTTAATGTGAGGTAGTAGAGTGCGTTTCCGAGAAGTACTAGGATAATTCAATAGATTTTTAACCTAAAATAAAGAAATGAAGTTATTGTACAGCATAATAGTATTTTCAAAACTTTATGTATAAAAAAAATTAATATTAGTGTAATCTAACCTGAAACCAAGCAAATCAGTCCTACAAATCAACATTAAAAAGTTAATCTAATGCTCACCAGCGACTGGCTATAGGTGACTTTAGTCGCCTGAAGTTTCAGTGAGAAGTCGTATCCAGTGGAGGCCACTAATTCGGGTGTAAAGACAGATTCTCTAGCCAACAACATTGGCTGGTGAATTGATATTTGTTAGAGTCCATGAGCAAATGAAGCCATCATAATGACTGAATAATCAACTAGCTCATCTCTTAACTAGAAAGTCCTGGATTCAATTCCTAGTGGTGTCGTGGGTGAGTACTGATGAAGGGCCCTGAACTACGACGAAACAACTGTCAAGTACTCCCTGGTTTCCATTGATTCTCTGTAATCTAACTCGAATTATTTCATTAGCGAAACAAAAATTTATACAAAATTCATCTCAAGGATAACAATATTTGATGTAAAGGTGAACCAGCTAAAACCAAAAAAACGTTACTACTTAGCTTATGTAGGTTTGAATGGTGGTGCGACTTTCTAATTCATACACCAGCGTTTATTTGTCAGCGATCCACAGATTATACTTTAAGAAAATACTTTCACACACGCATGCAATTTTTTTTGGATTACAGCTTGATTCCACACCGTATTTTTGGTACAGGTATGGAGTTTTCAGTATGTGATATCGGTAGACCAAATTTTGCAGATCAACCATTGATACCAGGTGTGCGTCGGCAGGGGATCGAACCCCCGACCATGTGTATGGTCGGCGAAAGTCCTAATCACTGTGCCACCGACGTACATTCACACAGTGATACACCAATTGACTGGGTATTGGTTTTCAAGAGAGCCAAAAACACTCATCCCTGCCTCTTGCGAGACGAGACCGGTATGCAGGATCATCCTGTGGCGCAACAACTCGAGAGCCCTCTCCCTCGGTGGACCAAATCTACGGTAAACACAAATATACAGTGACGAAATGGGATAAGTTGCCTGACATAAGGAACTTCCATGGACTATGAGATCCCGCCGCAGTGGAAGTATGATAACGCATGTATATATATATATTGTTCCCTTGGGTTCCAAGTGCGATACGGAGCTCCAACAACACATCTTCACTTTCTTCTATTTTCCGCTGTCTTCTTTAGCTGGTGCCACAAATGCCTGTAATCTCTTACATACTGCTCGCCTGATACTCTCCATATCACCCTCGGAGGACCTACTAGTCGTTTCCTAATCGGATTCCACTCGAGCTATGGATTGGCGCGCGACGTCATTCAACGATTTCCTCAGAGTCTGTCCGGTCCATTTCCATTTTCTCCTACATATTTGTTGAACGATAGGATCTTGGTTAGTCTGTTGCCAGAGTTTAGTGCTGCTAATTCTTTCTGGCCATCTCATCTTCAGTATGCACCCAGCGAAGCGGGAAGCTGTTGATGGAAGTCTGCAACAAGCTGTTGGAAATCCTTTTCATTACACTCTATGTTTCTCACCCGTATAGAAGGTCCACCTTGACATTGGGGTTGAAATTCCAGATTTTGTTCTTTATGTTGAATGCGGTAGATTTCCGAACCGATTTCAGATCGATGAAGGTGTACCTGACTTTTCGATCCTGACTTTGATATCATACGTTCGGACTGCCTGTGGCTGAAACGATGCCTTACATTACCATAGATTATTTATTTGCATATTCCTGTCTTTCTTGTTGTCATAAATTAGATCTCTTCTTAAAAGTGATGGAAGTTACTTTGTTGCGTTTGTATTTATAAGGATTTTCTCACAAATATCATATTTTAATCACGGGAGTACAATTTTCTATTTATTAAAAACCACGCCTAGTTTACTAGATCGCTAGTTTTCTAGCTAGTCCTAAGCCTGGGTAGAGGGAGAGAGGGTTGGGCGTAGGGCTAATGACCCTACCTGAGAAAAACAGTCAATCTGCTACAGGAACTTCAATGGACAATATATATATATATATATATATATATACACGAATGCAAAGGTCGATAAAAAATCCATTGAAAAGTTTCTACGCTGAATATTTTGTGGATGACTCAACACCATCATGAACTACTAACGCATCGGTGTTTGAAGTGATGCGTACTGAGTTTGAGTCTCAGTGGGAATACTATTGTGGTGAGAGCAGGCAGTGAGAAAATATGTACAAGGCTGATTCAACAACCAATCATAGCAGACTTAACGTAGGAAAATATGATTCGCAGATAGAAAACTATTTTTCGAGGAATCCCGAAACAACCAATCAGAAGCCTGCGTTTGTCTGCTTAACTTCTGATAAACAACCAATCAGAAGATTGCGCTTGTCTACTTGCATAAGCTATACTAATGTACAGGAAATATGTATAAATACGTGTTGATTTTCGTAATAAACGATCTGTTGCCTGTCCCTTGCTTCTGTTGTTACACTATCACTCATTGCCGACACATATACATCCAGTTATTATTACTACTAATACTGAAATACAAACTTGATATATTATTGACACCAACAGACGAGCCACAAAATCTCTTAGTGCAAAGGCTGGGATACTGCCCAGACGCCCAAACCGAAGCAGGTGGTTGCCTTAAGGAGTCAGTCCCCTCCCTGAGCTTCGGACTTGAAGTATGATCCCAAAGGCAGTAAAGAACCGCCAGAAACTACGTTCCCGTACTTTCCAAAACACTGAAACTGGTCCATTAGGATTTTAGAAACCATATGCACAAGTCCAAAATTGTAAACGCCAGCTATTCATATTTACGCATTCACTTTCGTGAAGAACACTCAATTAACGAGTTGCAGACGGGACGAAACGAATGTCGTGGATACCACACGGTTAACCACAAAGACTACCAAACGAAGTAGTCGTGAAGTTTTTTTGAAAACAAAATCTAGGCTTTATTATACTTACTTTCAATGTAATTTTGTCAATAACAATACAAAATGTATTGGGAGATGGATTCTGGACAACAATACCACCATAAGCACAATGTTATTCTCATACTCCGATTTCTTCTCTGAATCGACATCATTTGACAACCAAAGGCATATTTCATGACCTTCGAAATAATCCAACTGAAAAAATAAATAAAATAAAAATTTATTCCAGTATTAATTATTATGAGTGTATATTAGATGGCTGGAGGTAGATGCAATAAGCTTCGGACCTGGGTTTCATGCTGGTTAGCACTCACCAAGTCAGCAAGGCGTATGTACAACCTTGAAGGAACTCATATCCCTTCTGAGATTCGAATCCGTATCGCCCAATGCTGCAGTCAGAGACGTCACTAGGGAGCTATTCGGACTCGCGATCGCCCTCCTGTAGGAGTGCATTGGACTGGACACATTACACTTATTACTGACTAGTGTCTAATCAAAAATGTCCAATACTCTCCTACAGGAGGTAAATCGCGAGCTCAAATAGCTCCGTGGTAACGTATTCGACTGCAGTTCTCACTGGGTGACGCGGGTTCGAATCCCAGAAGGGACATGAGTTCCTTCAAAGTTGCAGATACACCTTGCTTACTAGTGAGTGCCAACTAGCACGAAACCTGAGTCCAAAGCTTCCTGTTGATTGCCTCTAATCATCTAATATCAACAAATCAAAGTGCACCAAGACGGCGAGCCACCTAGCTTCGTAGCCACATTGCAAACTTGACTGATAGAATTCAGTCTGCACTAAACAAAGGACCAAGCACATGACACTAGTAACTAACTAGTGTACAATCAAAAGTATAATGAGTGTAGTATATACTTCCTCGAAAGTTTAATCAAGTAATTGACGGGAGATAATTATGTTCCAATAATGCCCAAGGTTTTAGATAGGCGCACAAAAATATCTTTTGGAAGAATCTAATGACAATTAGATGTAACATCATAAAGTACACAGCTCATCTGAATATTGGTGCTTTTTAAAGCATTTTATAACTTCAAAGAAGAAGTAATAAAATAGAGCAATCGGTAATCTTAAACACTTGAAAGAAAATTACCAGCGATTTATAATAAATGTTTTTTTTGTTTTGAATAATTTCTGAATTTATTATTATCCTTATCTTCTAGGATTCCTGATGAAACATAGGACCTTAGTAGCACATCGCCATTTCACTCTGCTTTCTGGTGTCTCCTTTTTGAACTGACTCCATCTGTTTAGTGTAAATTCAAGTCTCTGAACAGTTGCTTTCACAAAGCTATCTTTCAGTACAATACGTAATAGGATTCTTCTAGCTTAAGTGATCCCTATTGAACTTACTGCTAATAATGTTCCACTTGGAACCAAAAGTGATAGTGATCATAATAATAATAATACTGTAGAATATGCTGTTCAAAAAAGCTTCATAACTCTTCTAAGAAGATGTAGTGAGTAGTATTTACAACTTGGAAAGAATATGTATGATTTTATGAACTGGTTTACATCAACTTGTATTATCACTATCATATCGAAAAGAACCGAACACCACAGTACGTGCATACTGCTGAAGAGTCTCAAACTAGGACAAAACAAGTTCCCAGTACTTCCAGGTTCGTTTACTGATGCCAACTTCCAATCAAACCTGTAATTGATCAAATCCCTGTAAACCAACACTTGAGAATAATTTATAACTATCCAAATGAATACAACTAAGACAACAAATATGTTTCACAAAAATACACGATGAAAAATATGCATGCACAAAACGCACGTGTTTTTCAGAGATACCAACTCCACGTCGTTGTTTAACAGGAGACGATGTAGCTAAGGGTTGATCAACATCCATAGACTGTTCAGTTGTGCTTTGTTTTTCTTCTTCTCCTTCTTCTATGCTTTCGTCTAATGTATAATATCCACTACTTTGATTCATAATTGAGCTATTATCAGTAATATTGTTCGAGTCTGATAATGATGACAATTGCTGATCACTGACATTTTCTGTAAGTCCAGAAAATGTTGGCACAAGTGACAATCGTTTTGTGGCTAATTTACCCTATTTAATTTAGAATAAAAACAGTAGTAGTGTAACAGTAATAATAGACAATAATACGAACATCGTAGTGTGTAACACGTTGAGTTTTTTTTTTCTTAAAACGAATTGCTAAAACGCTAAAAAAAACGTTGAACTTGAAGAAAATAAAAAGACAATTCAGCAAAGGAAATTTTCTTTATCGACGAACACATCTTCAGAGACTGTACAGTCGTATTTATATTTACCAAAAAATGTATAGTAGTCCATTGTTGAGTAATAGGGAGGGTGACATAATTGATATAATTACTCAGAATTGGCCTTAGAAGTACAAAAAGAAGTTGTAAATTACGTAGTACTCAACGGCACAAAAGAAAAAAGGTAGTTGAGTGTCTATTTAACAAGTGTGAAGAGGGTGAGAAAACGTACAAAAGGAACATGTGAGAGTTAATAATTAAAGTAAAAGCAAAGTAATCATTAAAAATGAAAAAAATTTATGGGGAACGACCAGTAAAGAGGTTAAGACCATGATCGAATAAGAGACTGGACAGACTTTTACTATATACTGAGTGCGAGGTTGTATTGACGAATTGACAACGCCTCCGCCGTACACAAATGCCGAAACCTGACGCTCTCTGTACCATTTGGCCTCACCTTGTAGATAATTTGGAAAGACAATTCTGGTGGAGCTACGTGGCTTGATTTCATCAAGTCCTAAAGAATTGAGCTAGTAACTGTCTCGCACTGTCCTTTTGCTAACCATGCCGGATAATGTTCAGAGATGCGTTTGGAAAGGTGATTTGTGTAGCCAATATAATTAGTTCCGCAAGAGCACGTGAATTTATAAACACACATTGAAGTGGCCCAAAGTGGCAGTTTATGCTTCACACATCCATCGATCATTTGTCGGCTGTAAAAACTGATCAGTAGCTCAGTCTCAAAGAAGGCTTTTCTAAGTGATCTTTAGGATCTAATCAGCGGTATCACCTTTAAATTCAGCGTTCACAAACAGCAGTTTCTTCGGCACCATCTGGATTCTTTGGCATTTTGCTTTACCTTCATATTTTTCTCGATGAATTTTGGAGAATATCTATTTTCCGTGAGGATTTGTCTGAGTCGTTCCAGCTCCCCACACATTCTTATTCTTAAGGATAAGGAGTGGATTAAATTTCTCAAAGGAGTGCAACAATGAAAATTCGTGGGTTGACCATTTCATGTTGGTTTTCTGTAGAACGATCTTTGAAGAGAACCGTCAGATCTCCTTTTTTTAAAACATCAAAAAAAGTGGAGTTCGGAGTTCATCTCTGATTTCGACGTAAACTGGATGGTATGATGGTAGTTGCTGAACTCCTTAGTTATCATTTCGATGTTAGCACTCTCGTCACATATGATGAAAGTATCATCCATGCATCTTTGGTACATATGAAAACTGCCGATAGTGGGGGTGATAACATACTATTCCCTAGACTTGCCAAGAAGCAGTCTGCAAGTAAAGGACCCAATATGTAACTTAAAAAGAACAGTAAACGATAAGTGCGTAATTGAAATCGTAGTATTAAAGGAAACAAAAACAAACACTGCGGCAGAGTATAACTCCATTATCTTATCTATAACGGAGACAGAATGTGTGTCTGTGTGTTTAACGTCCTAACGGAAAACAAATGCACCTACCTGTGTTTCACTATTCAATTGAAGTAATTCACTCATTGTCAGTGAATCACGCCAACTTTTATCATGACGTATAGCCACAACACGAGGAAATCGTAGTGTTAGTCCAGCCGAATATGAATCACTTTGGGTCAGTTCAGCACCATGAAGCTGTAAGTTATGAAAATAATAACTGGTGAGGTTTATGCATGTTGACGGTAATACGCATACTTGGAAACTTATCATTTTTAAGACTACATAACATTTAAGTTGAAAGATGTTAAATAACTGATGACAACATAAACTCCACTGAATCGACTGACATATGAGAAACCTTAAAAGTTTAGGGTATAGACTAATCAGGTTTCAAGTCGAGGCGGTACTATGAATAGCTTAAATGAAAGCATCAAGATTAACTTTAACTGTGATGCTTCCCTAAAGAGAGAATTACACGGTAGCTGATAATCAGTCATCAAACCAATCTACGAGTAGTATAATCTAACAAATAAAAGAACTCAAATCCTAGTGATCAAAGTAATTGATTGGTGGAAATTAGTATATACACTAAACCAAACAAAATGACAGAAGATACTCATCAGGAAAGAAGGTTAGGTAAAGTATATACACGACTCATAAACAAATTTTCTATAGTTTGGTTTGTAAGGGTTAGTTATGTTTTTACGAGTTAATCACGGATTGATATCGGCTAGAGAACCATTGGAAATCAGGGAGTACTGGACAGCTACTGTTTCATCCTAGTTTGGGAATCATCGTCAGTACGGACCCACTACCAGGGTTCGAACCCAGGGCCCTCAGGTTACAAGGCAAGCTCGCATACCACTCAGCCACTGGGACCCGATTCAATGGCTCATGAATTCTAACTTCTACCAATTAGTGATTTAGCGCAACCAGTGAGGTCCAATTAAATGTCACGTGTGTGGATAGATGTCCCACCAACGACAATGGTTGAGGTCGCGCTAAATCACGAATTGGTAGAAGTTAGAATTCATGAGCCATTGAATCGGGTCCCAGCGGCTGAGTGGTATGCGAGCTTGCCTTTAACCTGAGGGCCCTAGGTTCGAACCCTGGTGGTGGGTCCGTACTGACGATGATTCCCAAACTAGGATGAAACAGCAGCTGTCCAGTACTCCCTGATTTCCAATGGTTCTCTAACTGATATCAATCCGTGACCAACTCATAAACAAATAGAAAGGAAATGCTAACAAATCAGAAGTAAGTCATGTAGTAATAAGGTTTCACAGCCAATACAATGTATTGCACATCAAGACGGATATAACATAAATAGACAGACAAATAGAAAATTCAAAAAAAGGAGTTTGTATTATTGTCCTCTTAGTCACAAGAGAACCATGGAATACCAAAAAGTAATGAACAACCTATTTTCCTCTAATTTGAAAATCCCCGGTAGTAATGTACACAGAATCTCATTCAAAATAAAAAGTCTAAGCCAGACACACGTTGTCATTTAGTCATAATCGCGATCTAATAAGTACGAATTAGGAGGAGAGAGTTGTGAGTTATTGGGATCCCAATTACTAACTGGATGCTAAAATGCTAGTCGTGATAACTAACGGGTCTTGAATTCAATTTCTCATAGGGTTGAGTGTGTGTACAATCACATAATAAGTGTTCACAGTGTCACTAGTATTCAGCAGTTTACAATATGATAACTATTCATAAGAGAATTACAATGAAATCAACCCATTCTTCCCCACCCCCTCCCACAACTCGACGATGAGATAGTTGAAAGAATTCGTGAACCCAATGGACATTGCTGATACTGTTGTGTTATCTGGGCTATATGATTTATTCATGAAGTCTGGATAAACAATCTCGATACAACTCTCTCACGTTTGTGCTCACCACAATATTTAAGTAAGAGACTGACTCATGAATTCGGTCGAGTACGACAGCAGTTACCTATTCGCTGGCATCACGTACACAAAATTCCTACTTTCAGAGTCAGTCATCAGTGCTTGAATTCTAGGCTCTTAACAATTCGACTCCGTTGGCTTAGTCACTGCACCAACTTTTACCATATAGTAACATGCAAGCCCTTACACATTGAAAGTAGTTGGTCACCTAAGCATCATCATGACTGCCGAAGAAAATATAGTACGGTTGCATTTTAAAATTTAACCTTGAAAAAAGAACAAATACAACACAGACTCGATTAATTAAACAGTCAATATATACAGAGGTAAAGTGAAAAACAATAATAAATTTTTTATTAACCTGTAAAACAAGTGACGATTTCGGAGCAATCCATACATCTGGACGTTCTGTATTCACGCATAACCATTCAGTGGAATCAGTATTGGGATGTTTTCTATCGTACACCTTCCAATGTTTTCTTAATAAATTATCAATTTCTTTGAATTGTTTAATTGTTAATCCAGATTTCACCTATTAAAAAAAGTATTATTTTTTTCTCCTTCTAAAAACAACTGAATATTTTACAAACAAACTAGGTTGTAATTATTGTGGCCTATCTCTTGGTACTAATGTTCAAATAAAATAGAATAAATAAGACTGAATGATACTTCCATCAGATCTTATTAGTTGAACAAGGTTTGATTAGAAAATCTTGTGATTTATTGGGTGAAGCAGTCGATCATCATCGATCCCTTATAGATCCAAGGTTCGAATCTGTTCCATCCACTTCCAATCGGGCAATTGGGTGGTAGTAGTAACATTAGCTATCGAACGAAAAATATACCTCATAGACGGTCTATTCTGATGAAATAATTTCTGATAATGATCAGTGAATCAAAACACTAATTAAACGCCTATCAATAAATCACCATGTGTAGATGATATCATAAAGAAACACGAAGATGAAATGAAATGACTACTTGAAAACTCGTTATATGTAATCGCTACCAAAAAACATCCAACAAACATTTTTGCGTGTTCATCTGAAAGCATTCCATCGAACAAAGCAGGGAATGACAATCAAATCTCTACCTCAACTTTATAGACTTCGAGAAGGCTTTCGACAGACAGTGTTGACCGCGAAGTAATTTGGAAACTACTCGAGTATTACGGCGTACCCGAAATATTCATCAACCTTATTCAACAGCTGTACGACAATGTCACATGTCAAGTGAGCCACAACGGAAAACTCAGCAAGGCGTTTCAAGTAAACACTGGAGTCAGACAAGGGTGCTTACTATCACCAATGATATTCCTAATTGTGGTGGACTGATTAGATTATGCGTCAGACAGTGGGAAACGAGAAGACAGGGATATCCTGGACCGACGCGAAGAACCTAGAAGACCTGGATTTCGCGCGTGGATGATTTATGTTTGATGTCACACAAAATCGAAGACTTACAAGCGAAAACCGACAAACTGGTCGAAGAAGCAGTCGGCGAAGACAGAACTCCAGGTGAATATAGACAAGATGGAGGTTATGAAAATAACCAACCACCAACAACAGCAACATCCAGTGCCAATCCCCATGAACGGGAGGGATTTGAAAGAGGTTACTTCATTCATTCACTTACCTAGGGAGCATTGTCTCAACTACAGGAGGAGCGGACGAGGATGTCAAATCAAGAGAGAATTGGGAAGGCGAGAAACACATTCATCAACCAACTGAAACCAATCTGGAAATCTTCGTCATTCAGCATCAACAACAAAATTCGGTCGGATCTTCAATACAAACGTCAAGTCAGTCAGCTCTTCTATACGGATCAGAAACTTGGCGGGCAGGTCACAAAGAATATTTCCAACAGCCTGTTGCAGACCTTCACCAGCAACTGTCTTCGCTCTATACTGAAGATCAGATATCCGGGCCGGAGGAATCACCAACAAGAAACTATGGCTGGGAACAAACAAAACAAGAACCAATCGCCAACCAACAAATATGCAGGAGGAAGTGGAGATGGACTGGACACTCGCTGAGGAGGCCGCTGGGTGACATCGCGCGCGTCAGGCCATTGCTCGAGTGGAACCATGCCGAAAGGGAAGAGGCGAGTGGGACGTCAGTGCAAGGGTGACATGGAGAAGATCGTGTGAAGAGGAGTTGAAAGAGTATGGACTAACATGGATGCAGGTAAAAAGTACAGCAGAAGGAAGACAGAAGCAAGTGGAGACATGCAGTTGAAGCCATATGTTCCACTAGGAACCCAAGGGAACAATAATAATAATATAATAATGATCAATCTGAAAGCATGTTTTAAATAGACAGTGAATTTCAATACTCATTAGTTACCGAAATGTTGAAATCAGGTACTCGATAACAGTTACAGAATCCTAATGACATCAAATTTATGAACGCAGAAAATAAAGCGACCTCCATTTGTTGAAAAATAAGTAGCCACGAACAAGTATATATTTCTCAGATGTGATGCATTAAAAATTGTGTGTTATAATGCAATCAAATATTTACTTCTTGCTCTTCACCGTTATTGTTTTTAGAACTCTTACCCAGTACACACACACATCCCTTATATACCTGACTATGAGCCGTACTTATTGTGTGAGGGTTGATGATACTACGCAGTAGCTCAAACTGAAAAATTCGAATGCGGGATCTATTGGCCAAAAGCTCAGTGTTTATTCCAATGAACCCCAATCTCCACATTTCAACTGGTACGACAGTCAAATGGGCAGCTTAATTCACTAGACACTATTCATAACATAATAGGTAGCAAATTCCACTTAAGGTTCTTTGCAGTTCATAGTGCCAAGAAACTTGTCAACGATTTAGCTTTCTTTATTTAGCCAATTTTAAATGTTAACTGTTACCTTGAAGAACTCAAAAAATTACCAGCAACATAATGAATTTGATTCATTCAAGTATATCTGAAACATTCACCATTTCGGCTTAATTTAAAAACCTTACAAATTCGTCAAACCTCATTACAGTTTGTGAAGTTATCATTTGCAAATTACACAGTTCCAGGTGAAAATCACCCACGACTTTCTTTAGAAACTAAAAGTATTCAGATCATTATGTGTGATTTGCTTGGTACCATAAAAATTGCATAAATGATGTGGGTGGTTTCCAACTACTCATATCATTCAGTAGTATATACCATCTTACTAAAATATGCATGATTCAAATATTCCTTTCCTTAAAAAATGTTTTAATACACCCCCTTAGTAGTCACAATGGTTATGGCAGAATACTCGTCATCCATGTGGATGTCCGGGTTCGATCCCCTGTAGACGCGCTCATAAACACCTTGCCTAGTTTACCATCCCCTATAGTGATCCTGGAAATATTGGACAACCTCACCCTGAAACTTCAAAGGTTGAAGACCTATGTTCCACTCGAAAGGTAAGGAATGGAAATAAGAATCATTAACAACGTTAAATTGAAAAAATATCAACAGAATGCATACCTTACAAAAAGTGTAAAACCGCGTTAATTTCACCTTTTCCTTTGACGAATCAGCTGCTTCATAACTTTCATCACCCCGAACTGCACATAAAAAGTGACTAATTCGATTTCTGCCAGCAGCCTATTCCCATGATGATGAAAATAACCTCCAACAATTAAACAGTCTAAATCGGCTAGTAAACCATGTATATAATCCGGTTTAATTTTCCACCAACCACTATCATTTCTAACACCAGGTTGATAAGGTGATGGAGAATTGGCTATCTTAACAATAAGACCTTCTTGATGATTGTCAACAAGATGATTGAAGGCTTTTACAACTTCTGATTGACTTGGTGCAGAGATATACCATTTTGAAAGATATAGACAACCATTTACAACAGGAATAGGTTTGTAGTCTAATGCACTATCATCATCGGTATTACTGCATTGTAAAAATGAATCCATATCCAATCCTGAGATGTTCAACTGAAATATATCTAAGAGAAGTTTCTTACGTTCCAATAATGACTTTGAAGTTAGTAGCTTGAATAAGTGGAATAAAAATAACAATAATAATTGGTTTCGAAATATGCATTTTAAACATATACGAACAAGGATACTATCAAGTGGGAAATTAATACTTTACAATTAATACCACTTACAATTAACACGTGCGCCAGTAGTTCGGTGGTAGAATGCTCATCAACCAAGCATGTGGTCTTTGGTTCGATTACCGGCCAACGCATACCTAAGTTTCGTTCACTTTAATGTCCGATAACAAGCACAGGGAACAGGGAAGGTTTAACGTAATGTTAGCAACCCTGACCCGTAGAAAAACATTAGGGCTACTGGAACTTCAAGGTTCCAAGCCTGAAGCCCTGAATTCTATTCAGAAGTCAAGGAGTGAAGAGAAAAGAGGATAAGTTAACACATCATGATTATAGAAACCTATAAGGATATTTTATACTGGGGAAACTTTGTGCGTCGGTGGCACAGCGGTTAGGACGCTCGCCGACCATGCACGTGGTCCGGAGTTCAATTCCTGGCCGATGGACTCCTTCACCTCGCTTAGCCAGAAATAAAGCTGGCAAAGAGGAAACATTGGGCATGGGGCTAGCAACCCCGTCCTGTAAAAATAAACGCTGTTACAGAAATTTCAAGCCTCTAGCTTGAAGCCCTATGTTCCACTGGGAACGTGAAAAAACGGAGAACTTTGGCAACACATTACCATTTCCGTATATATGTGTTGCCATGTATTAGGATTTCGTTTTTTCATGCTTTATCAGGAGAAGGCACCAGTTATTGAGCCACTAGAAGGCCAGGGAATACTCGACAGCTGTTTTATTCCAGTTTTGACTCTTCCGCAAAACGCGCCCGCAGGGATTCGAATCCAGGACTTCCCTGTTACAAGGCAAGCTAGTAGACTGAAGCATGAATTTCAACTTCTACCAATTCATGATTTTAGCGCAACCACCAACCAACGTCATCGGTGAGTATTTATCTTTACACTTATGCTAGAAATGTTACACCACTCTATTCGACTATTATGTACTGATTAATATTGAAAACCATGATTGTGACAACTCATCACTTTTGTTACTATCCTCTTCGGTGGAAACACAAATTAGTATCCAACCGTACAGGTAGAGAAAGTGAAACCTTCAAGGAGAGACTCTTCTCTGAAGCCCTTGTTTTGTTATTGTTTTATTCATTAATGTCGGGATGCAGGCTATTCATGAATTAAAAAGTAGCAACGATCCTTAGATAACCAAGAAACTCAATGGGTTTCTGTCGTACTCTATCAAGCTTGCCGTTGTAGTGATATCAAAAATTACTTTTTTCAATGATTGTGTTAATTATCACAAGTATTCGAAATGGTTACGGAAAGTATTACTACGGAAACACACATATATCCCAATACGAAAACAATTTTTCAGTTGTGCTTATCACTATTGATGATGCCAAACCAACAACAAGCACCAATCATCACCAACGGGAGAAATTTAAGAGAAGTTAACCGTTTCATCTGTTTGACACGGGCAGCATCGTTTCAACTACAGGCGCCACACAGATGGGGATATCAAAGCCAGTAAGGATTGGGAAAACAAGACAGGCCTTTCTAACACTGAAATCGGTATGGAAATCTACCGCACTCAGTGTTAAATTCAAGATTCGAATTTTGGGCACTAACATCAAGTCATTGCTTCTATACGATTCAGGGACTTGGCTCACGTATCATGAAAACCATTTCCAACAGGTTGAGGATACTCACTAATAGAAGCTTTCCATTCATGCTGAATATCAGGTGGCCAGAAAAGAGGAGCAACAAGGTACTTTGCCAGACAACGAACCCACCAAGAAGGAAGTGGGGATGGATAGACCACATGCTGAGAAGACCGTTGAGTAGCACAAAGAGCCAGACTCTTGAGTGGACTTCGAATGGGAAACGACGAGTCGGACTTGGATCTGACGGAGACACATGAAGAAGATCGGTTAAGGAGGAAATTAAAGCTTATTGGCAATCATGAAGTCAGATAAAAATGACTAGAGAGAACCAAGTGAAATGGAGATGTGCTGTTGAAACTTTATGTTCCACCCAGAATCCAAGGGAATCATTATTATTATCATTATTATTATTATAACATCAAGATTAAATTAAACATACCTCTCCATTCAAATAGAGTATATCAAATACAACAAAACAAGGTTGATAATTATCAGTCTCAGGATTTTGATATCCACTTCGTTTCACATCGAATTTTGTCGGTTTTGACATAACTGAACTTGACCAGTTACTAAATATCATCATTTCACCATCTAATATACAATTATCTACATGATTTGCAAAACCACAGTGAAGTTGACCAGTTAATCTATCCGAATCTCGACAACCATCTTCACCATAACTTGCTGTCCATTCTAAACCGTTTCTAGACCAATATCGATAAGAATTCTTCGATTTATGAAGCTGTTTAAAAAGGAAAATTTAATCTCATTCATAATTTATGACTACAAAAAAACAAACAAAATGAAATTAAAACATCCTGTTAAGTTAGTAAACACACTGTCAATATTGAGCGATACTTTTGATTACTTAAGCAAATAGCTGTTAAACTTATGATTTAGATATACACTGAAATAATATGCTGATTTGTGTCACTCCAAAGAGATAAGAATAGCAGATAATGAGAAAAGTGTACTGCCCATAAGCTGATACTTAGAAACTTTACTATTTCTTAGAATAATCCCCCTTCTTCACGATAGGTATCGATGGACTTTCTCTTTTAAAAGTTCACTTGTACTAGCAACCATGAAACTCTGGTTCCGAGTGGAACATAGGGCTTCAGCAGAAGTCCAACTTTTATTCTGCTTTCTGAAGGCATTTTTAGCTGCCCCTCTGATTGTCCACAAACGTCTTCATTTCTTCCTCACAATATCTCCCCCGTGTTACCTTCTTCAATCCTTATTCCAGTTCTACACGAGGACCTGACAAGTGATGTAACTTGACGGTAGTCTTCTTCGCGTGTGTTTAATCCATTTCTGTTTCCTTCTGCATATTTTTTGGGCGAAAGAGGTTCTTGGTTGGTTCGTCGCCTGATAAATTTCCTTCTTGACTGTCCCTTCTGACCGGCCACCTGATCCGCAGTATCGAACCGTAGACGGCGCACCTGACGATGAAAGTCTATAGTAGCCTGCTGAAACAGCTCCCATGACACTCCATCTCTCTGAACCGTATAGAAGAACTGACTCGATATTAGTGTTGTGAATTCGGATCTTAATCCATATATTGAGTGCGGTGGATTTCCACACTAATCTCAGGGTATTGAAGGTTACTCCTGCTTTTCCGATTCTAGCTGGCTTTGTACATCCTCATCCGTACCGCCTACAGTTGGAACGATACAACTTAGGTCACATAAGTGGTGGTTGGTGGTGACTAGTGTTTGTTTCCGTTGGTTAGGTGTCTTTATCATTTTTGTTTCCACAATGTTCAAATGAATTCCTGTCTTCAATGAGTCTTCTGCCGGTTCGCTTGTTTATTTTTGCCTGCATGTCAGCAAGTTTTTAAGAAATTCGACATAAATTATCTGTGAAGTTCAGATCACCTAGCCCGCCCTGTGGAGTGAGAAGTTTTTCGAGAATATTTTCTGCTCAAACATTCTTTAGAAATAATTCTATCTTTCAAAAAAGTTAAACTGTCATCTTAAAACCTTTCGAGTTAAAAAATAAAATCTTTGAAGTTATATGAATTTAACTATGGCTAATAAATAACCACATCTCTTATGATTTACTTGTTAAACAGCATTTTTCAGTAACACATTAAAGTCACATACATACTAACCTGAACTCGTTCCCCATCGAATTTTGTTTCAAAAAGAAGGTTTAATCCTTTAATATTACACTGATTCTGTTTACCATATAACTGTTGTACTGCATAAACAAGCATATCAGCACTGTTAGCCCGTTCACACAACATAGGGCGAAATGGAGTAAATAGAGTTACATTATTTGAATTCGTCCCCTTAGAAACAATTGCATATGAACATGGTACATCTGCAATCCGTTCGCATAGAAGACGAAGATCCTAAAGACATTTAAAAAAAAAACAACCAACAAAGGTAACTGAATCGATGAAAAATCAGTTTTTACTTACAAATAACACTTCAATAGTTAATTCCCTAGATGATTTTTTATCGAAAGTCGCTTATATTACTAAAATGATGACTGAATTTAAGTAAAACTATGTCACGATCGGATATAAATTGGAGAACTTACAAACCAAGTAGTATCTGATTCACTCTACCAGTAAAGTTACGAAATTCTTTTTTCTCTCATGTACGTGTGTGTGAGTACATTTGATTACACTATCTAGCGAAATCTTATCTAGACACAACTGGCTGACTAGCTGAGTTTCAAAGTAGAACTTTGTACAGAAGTGCAATATACTTCAAGCTGACAAACTCCATGTCAACACAAAAAAGTAGAACCATAATGAGAGGAAATCTACAGGAGAAGGAATAATTAGATGAGAAGACATAAGGATTTAATGGGTCTGTGGGACTGCAAGGAGTGAATACATCCGCAGTGCTGAGAAGAATTTTAAACCATATCACAAATAGTATCCAGCTATTGGCTATCAGCATCCCGCGGATACCGATTAGGCAGACTACACCTCTCTAAGTGGCTCAAACCAATAAACAAGGAATTCCTGCAGTGATGCTCAGTTTTAGTTTGACCACTCCTAAAACTCCTCTGAAACCTAACCATATGTCAGGTAACACTGTTCAACGAGAAATGCGGTGGCTCCATAAGCGTAACACACTTCCTAGTCATCGCAATTGATGTAACTTGACTTGCCTTCCTTATCTAAAACGCTCAAGCTCAATATTACTATATCACACCATTTTACAAGATAGGGCGTAGACATGTACGGTCAAAAACAGCTGGCCCCTTCACATCTTCCACATCCAATGATTATGTCGCATAGCTACAAAGAAGGATACAGTTAACTACTATGCTGTACACATACCTTTTGATCGATAGCCGGACATCATATCTGTACACCAGAGACGACGTCTTCTAATGGGAAATCAAGTTTAAAAGTTTATGCCATTAGTGTTTTAAAGAACGATAACGGAAGGCTTTAATTTAGACAGCATACAATATCATTGAGTGCTTTCTCAAGATATTAAATGATAATCTCATATCAATCACAATCTTTAGAATTACTAAAGATCTTAAAAAATTTTATAACATGAGTGGTCACTCCATATTAGTTTGTTTATTAGATGTATCACACAGTGAAACAGTATTATTTACTGAATAAATAATACTGTTTCACTGTGTGAAACATTAATAAACAAACTAATATGGAATTACTTACTACCACCACAATGCTCAAGTATTACACATATTAATAATGAGTGGTCAACCGTTGAATACACAAGGAATATCTGTTTTATTAACCTGAAGAAGCATACATAGTTTAAGCCTACAGTCCTTAGGCTCAACCGATAAACCTGAATACATTGACTGGAACACTAAATCTTTTGATTGAACACTAGTAACTAGCGTCCAATCAAAATACTCACTACAGTCCTACAGGAGGTCAATCACGAGCCCGAATAGCTCAGTGGTACGGTCTCTGACTGCACCACTGGGTGACACTGGTTCGAATCACAGAAGGGATATGAGTTCCTTTAAGGTTGCAGATACGCCTCGCTGACTTAGTGAGTGTCGACTAGCACAAAACGTAGGTCAAAGGCTTCCTGCCAATCACCTCCAACTATCTAACACTAAATCTTTACTAAGAATCATAAGTCTATTTATCTCTAGACATTACCTGCATTATTCTCATTAGACGACAAATCAGTGCAGTACTAGTGGTTTGGGCAGGTCAAGTAGCCCGAAATGTTAGACCGTAAGCTGGTTAGAATTTCCTTACAAACTGCGTTTTCTTTTAACATTAACCACTGTTCCTAAACACATAAACCTAGTAACCCTTCAAGAAGAGAATCCTAATTATAAATCAGAATTTTACAGCTGGCAAGGACACTGATTCTATGCCTAGTAAATAAAAAAAACATACTTTTGTAAAAATACATCGAAAATCTATTAACCATACGTTCAGATATGGAATGATAATAACAAGAATAATAATAATCATAATAAGCGTACATTTATTCCGAAAAACTAACTTGAGTGACTTCAAAAACAGAGATGGCAGCAGGATGAAGGCATTTGAGAACATCTTTTCCACTTAGACCACAACCAGAATCTCGCTTTACAATAAGACGTACAATCCATTTTTGTTCAACAGCAGTCGTTGAATGCAACAATGAACGTAATGCATCTAATCGTTGGTCAGGTGATGAAGCAGTAGCCAATTCATCAAGATGATTGTTAATATCCTTGATTGTTTTTTTTTCAAGTACAAAATAGCCAGATTACTAAGACATTCAGGTGTATTTTCGAAAAGTGAATAAAAGTTAATTTCGTAAAAGACCTCTACGAGGATAATATATTTCTATGAATAAAATAACAACAGAGTAGTCCCAGAAATAATACACTCCTCTGATAAACACTAATTTGGTAATCATTGTCACAGTAGGTAGTTACAACTAATACACTTTAATATGTTATGTACCTTTTCATTCCTTATTGTATATAGCATTTAATCTGTTTGCATGTTAGCCATACAATAAGCAGGTTGAAAAGAATACAACGTGCTGAAGAATGATTAAACTACAAGACCTACTACTTCTATGGGTGGACAAATTAGTTTGGCTTAAACCAGTAAATTAAGAAAGTTCCATCAATACAGAACGAAACCGTTATAGTGCTTATCTATCTTTCAAAAGGACTCATATAATGCATACTACAATCATAGGGGGGTATTAGTCGATTTTCTTAGCTGCGCCGTTGTCTTGCTCCTCAGGCTGTGTAAAATATATGAGAAATTGATTCACGAAGAGCAGGCTGGGTTTCATTTAGGTCATGAATGCACCGGTCACGTGCACGCCCTTCCTCAGTTACTAGAACATCGTCACATGTATTGTAGGTCAACCATCATTGTATTTCTGCATATTACGGATGCCTTCGATTTGTCCGACAAAACTATCCCTTGAAATTGTCTGTTAGACGTAGGTATGTTCCAGGGGAGTTTATTCACGTCCTGTACAAAAACACTTCAGGCAGGATGAGGGCATACTATCACAGCCGTCCCCACTCTCACCAGTCCTCTGAATTTGTCATTGACAACACTTTGGAGAATTTGCACAGTGGAGACTTGCTGCCTGAAGAGACTTTTCGACTTTGAGTATGCAAATGATATCGTCTCATTGGTCACTAAAATCGCACCTAATCAGTTGGCGCCAAGTGTCTGCACGCATGATATGTGCTTTGGCTTTACACCCACCTATCCAGATGAACCTTTGGAAGTAGTCCTTAAGTTCGTGAGTCTAGTTAGTTATAAGTGTTAGAGGAGGCATGAAAAATTAGACATCTAACTGTAAAGTGAGAGTCAGGATGGCATACGCCAAACTACGTCACCTGTGGTACCGTCGCGACGTTAGCCTGGTAGTCAAAGGTCGGATTTATAATGAGTTGGCGTGTGATCTCGTTTCACGTCCATGAAATCTAGCCCTTTCTTAAGTTTACCTGACATAATTTTGAACTTTAAATGATACAGACACAAAGCCCAAATTATCAAGTGTTAATTCATACTGATAAGCTTTAAATCAATACACAGATCAGGAGTCGAATACAAAATATCAATGTTTGACTTTTGTCGTCAGCGTTACATTACTTATTATCACAGTAAAGGCGTTTATAAAAAGTTTGCTAATAAAGAAAATATCTTTTGTGAAGCCTAGATCGGCCTAACAAGTGTGACGGACGAAGTCTACACACTGAAAGGAACCTCTCTAGATCTTCCAATTAAATATGTTCTCCGTTAAAGACCACAGAAAAATAAAATGTCTATACCACAAACCTTCACAGATAAAATACTGTCCTCACGACATCGAGATTTCAACACTGCATATACTATATCAGCAAAATCAGAATGTCGACGCATAGGAGTGGTATGCGTTCTCAACAATATACGCGCGGCTAATCCATTCGGTGCAAGGCCAATAGCTCTGATAATTAACCGTGAAAGTGTGTGTTCACGCAATCCGAAGGCTTTTCTCAATCTATCATGTGATGGAATCAGCAAACGTAGTAATAAATAAAGACTAGCCCGACCACAAGATGAAAATTGACTCCTTGGTTTCAGATTCAGATATTGTTCCTCCCAAAGAGATATAAATTTGGAAAGTATTCTTTCTTTTGCCTTCACCCCATTAGTCAATGCCAATTTTTCTAGTAGACGACAATACGTTGAAAGTGAAACCTTTTCTGCAATACGTGAACTTTCACCGACTACATCCATATGAAAGACTAATCTTCAGAAACCACAACAGGCCGTCAGAGATTGAGGCGCTTGTAATATAAACAAAAAAGGAGAAGGTAGTGGAGTACAAGAATGACTAAATACTTTGTGTACAGCATTCATATCGTCGAACATTGTTACAGGCAGTCAAAACAAACTCGATAAGTGTCAGGTTTTTCAACAGGAATAGTTAAATGTTTCTTTTACATTGAACATATACCGGAAAAAATTACAGAGTAAATAAGAGAGTTAACTCCACGATCCGACCGTTTGATACTTAGACGTTGTAACAATTAGGTTCATGTATACTGTATAGTGCAGCGAGTAATGACTTTATACATTTATCGTATTCTAATTTCTTCACTCTTAAATATTTTCCTACTTAGTTTAGCACTTCAAAAATGCATTGGACCAACTTACTGTCTGTCTGTCTGTTTTCGACATAGAACTTTGCACAAATGTGCGGAAGTTCAAGTCGCCACATTCCGTGTAGCACGCGAAGCAAGAGAAGAAAGTACAAGAAAAGCATAATAGAAACAGTGAGCAGAGGTGTGAGACAAAGGAGTAATAAAGAAATACAAAACAGTTTCATTGAAGATCATAAGTCACAGGGAGTGGATGCATCTGCGCCACTGAGAACGGTTTTGAGCCATGTCACCAATTGTTTCCAACCATAGATTTTTACCGTCCCGAGGACCCCAGCCTGGAAGTCTACACCTTTCTACGTGGCTTAGACCAACTGTTGTGGATTTCATTGACTGATGCCAAGTTTTTGTTTGACCGCTGCTAGCTTTTTTCCAGCCTGACCCTATATCCGCTAACATTGCTCGTCGAGGGAGGCGATGGCTTGGCATACGTAACACATGTCCTAACCATCTCAGTCTTTGTAGCTTCACGACTTCGTCGATTGATTTCCCCTGTTTACCTAGAACTCTGCGCCTAACCTCCATGTTGCTCACCTTATTATGCCACTTTATACGGGAAATAGAGCGCAGGCACCTATGATCAAAGACAGCTAGTCTTTTCATGTCTTCCACTCTCAGTGGCCAGGTCTCACAACCATAAAGGAGGACGGAGCGGACTGATGAGCAGTACACCCGCCCTTTGGTCGATAGTCGAACATCTCGTCTACGCCAGAGTCGGCGTAAACTAACAAATGCGAAACGAGCCCCTTGTATTCGTGCTGAGATTTCGTCAGAGATCAGCCCGTTGGCACTGGCTGATGGTACTTCCCAAATAAGTGAAGCGGTCAACGTGCTCTACCACTTCACTTCCTATTTTTAAACTAGGCGTCGATGTAGTCCAGTCCTGTAACATCATCTTGCATTTGGCGGGAGCGAATCGCATGCCAAACATTCGTAGATTGCGGCTCAAGGACCAACTTACACACCAAATGATCCAGACAATTCAAGTGATGCAGGGGGACTACATATGTGTCACAAATACAAGTCTAAGTCGCGTAGGTTTTGTTTTTGATAAACGCAATACGCATTATCAAGGCGAAAGGCACAGTCTTGGGCCTCTCAAAACCCTATCCTCGATTTGTCATATTTTTGTAAGTTAAACATAAACACAGCACTATCATCCGATGTACCTAAATTCCAAAAGAAATCAGGAATCTTAACGATGACACACATGCAATATATTGAAAAGCCTAAATCGGTCATTCGCTAAAGATCTTAAACACAGCATAGATAAGCCAAAAAATAAAGTATAGTGCATGTTATATCACCGCATTCTGACCAACCATAATAGAGCCGACAGTGATGATTTGGCAAACTTTTTAGCTGAATAGCGGGAATGACACATTCTGTATATCTCTTCTTTCAGTTGACAACAACACAACCTTTCGCTACCTTGAAATATAAACTCACTTAGTTGTTGCTGAGTCTTCCTACTACTCTCCGCAACTGCTCATGTGTCAATATTAATTATTTGATGCTTACTCTGGAATTTGCCGGAACCCCCTCATCCTCATACAAAGTGTAATCAATCAAACACCATTTTGGCGAATTATAGTTACGATATTCAAACAGTATATTACAACTGTTAAGGTAAATACGTTATATGAAGTTACAGTTACTTACAATTACATCCGAATTCGAATTCCACAACTTAAATTATATAATCCAGCGGCACGGCAAATAGGTAGGCTTCGATGATATTTTTTACCCGACTGCAGACGTTGCTAAAACGGTGGTTGAGTACACTTTGTATGATGAGATGACGGTTCCTGCAAATTCTAAAGTAGGCACCAAAGAATTAGTATTGACACACGAGCAGTTGTGGAGAGTAGTAGGAAGACGCAGCAACAACTAAGTGAGTTTATATTTCAAAGTAGCGAAAAGTTGTGTTGTTGTCAATTAAAAGAAAAGAGATATACAGCATGTGTCATTTCCACTATTCGACTGAAAAGTGTGCCGAGTCATCACCCTTAGATCTATAAATCCCGTTTTTTATGGTGTAACTTTCCTTATTACGACTAAAAATCAACCAATGTTCTACAAATTATACAACTATTAAGCCAAAATCAGAGCACTGTTGAAGCAATACCTCCCTTTATTTCAAGACACATTTTGCATTATTTAACTACTGCTTTCCGACTTTAATAATTATTTAGGCAGTACTTTCCTTATTTGACAACTAGCTAGCATATTCCGATAATATTACTCCTGCTATTTTCCCAAAATCTCTTCATTTAAACCTTTATTTAACTATTCGCCGAATTTTGTCCGACAGGATTTAGCCAACTAATAAGCAAACTAACCGCATACAATTGGACATCAGCTAACCAATCTTACCACTAACTATTAAACATGCCTTTATGCGTAAAAAAATGGTTTCTGGCGTTGTTTAGGTAGAATAAACCACTTTCTATGCATAATTTTATTCCGAGGGGCCAATTATGCGATTGGTTGTAGGCTATCGTCCAAGAGTTCCGAAAATATTCTTTGCAGTTACTAATGCATTATATATAACCAAATTGAGAAATTATTATTCCTTTAGAATAGCAGAAGTTAGAACGATATTCACATTTCCTTCACTCACAACACTAGATTATAATACAATAACATCAAAGCAGTAAAATGTCAGTAGATAAGCTTTTTTTATCATTTTTAGAAAGAAGTGCCGGTGTCAATCTACTGGAACAAGAGGAGGACCTTTTAGCTTTGTACCGGCTTACTTCAACCTTTGCTAAGTCAGAATATACACCTCTCAGGACCCCCCCTTCGTGTTCTTCCTTCTTCGTGAGCGACTGTTGCTATTGTACGTCACAAATGGGTGTTGGAAGTGGGATGTTTCGCACACAACATGGAAACATCATCCCATTATGATCTTCCCACGCTGTTTCCTGAGAGTTGCGCATCCACCCTACAAAGTGTTCCCGAGCTTTCCCGTCCACCAACGCTGCAATTATCATCGGATTACTCACGCAAGAAGAAACCAATGTCATCGTTTATGACAAGCCCAACTAAAACGTCCCAAACTTGTTCTAGTAGGTTTACGCCAGAGTTGAAAAAAGCTTATTCAGCGACATTATGCTGATTTCCATCTATTCACAATACTTTATTATATACAAAGCCTATATTATAAACACTAATAAATGTTTTATTTTCTTTATTTGCAGCTAGATACTCTGGAGTCAATTATCTGGACCAGGAGATTCAAGAATTGCAGAACCTAATGAAGACCAGTAAAACTGTCAGACTCTAGGAGTGGACTCCCGCCCTTTTTAAAAGTCAATTTTGTGGAATAAACGTTCGCCCTTTTTCATTACCTGTGTGTCTGCTGCATTGCTTCTTACAAATCCGTGTCGCAGGCCTTCAAAATTCAGTTCAAATATGAAATCGGACTCATTCGAACCTGTTGCAATATTCTCCACCCAGAAGGCCAACAGATATCCTTCATCCACAGAACACACTCTCCCTATGCGAGGGATGCCGCCTTTAGACATCAACAGAGACTATGAGTTGTGGAAATTCCGCATGGAATCTATCCTCACGGGTCATCTCCACAAGCTCAGTATTCTCAAATCATGTTAGCGTTGAGTGATGTTCAGTTACTTCGTGCAATCACTGTGGGATTCTCTCCGTCCAAGACGCTCAACAATAACTGGTGCATCTATCCTAGATGAATGCTTTGCAAAACCTTTTAGTGCCTCCACATACATGCATACCTTCCTAAGCCGCTTTCAAAAACCAGATGAAACAGGTGTTGACTACCTCCATCATCTTCGCGAGATGATCGCGTCTTACGCATTTCCTAACCTTCCTAATCCGAGCCGTGATGAGGTTATTCGTACCCGGTTTGCACAAGGCCTCTCTCTTATTGTACGAGCTCAAGTGCCAGCTACTACACCAACCAGCCAAATCTATATCAGAAGCTCTCGAGGTAGTCAAGAGATTCGAGGGTATGGAGCACATTCTTTCATCAACTGCCAGTACGTCCTGTTATGCACTAGGGACCACTTGGCGAAGAACACCCGTCCCAGCTCCCCGACAACGCTGCCCTGACATTCCATCACAACCCAACCTACAACGCCATCTGCGAGTCCTCCCAAACGAAATAGTAACCCCGGCAAATGTTATTATTGTTGTCGGTTCGGTCGAAGAGCGTGGAAATGTGGTCATAATAAAAACCTCCAGGTGAGCCACCTCTTAATGTGCCTTGATTCAGTCAATGTTTGAAATATCCACTTATCCTTGAGGGTAAAATTCATGGTGTAGACGTGGCTTTTCTGGTTGACACCGGGGCATCGTCCTCTGTTGTCCGCACAATTTCTTCAACGATCGGAAGCCAACCCTAAACGTCTCACCAGTCAACTGCAGTTAGTTACCGTCAACGGGATTGTATTAATTCGACACCTGCAGACACGACAACGGCAGTTTTTCGTCAATCTTCAGGACGAATTTCGACTTGCCAATAGCCAGAGCCAGCTCTAAAGTGGAGAACCACTCAGCCCCACCGAAAGCCTTCAGTATGATGAATATGCTAGGTAT